TAGACAAAGCCTCCTATAGTAGGAGCAAAGCCCACCCATACCAAGTCCATATGTGTCTTCACTCTGCCACTTTCTAGCTATCCTGGAGAGTGCCTCCCTGCAGTGCCAACCTGGGTGACTGTAAGGTTAAAAAAAAAGACACCTAGACAGGGTGGGGGATCATATTAGTAGTCACACTTCCGTACAATCATTTCTTGAGTGGCCGAATGGCCTCACTTCATTATAGTGATGAGCCACACATCATTGAACTAGTTTCCCTATTGCTGGACAATTGGGTTGCTCATTATTAATGATGTGGTAATGAACATCAGTTAAATAAGTTTTGAGCTGTAGTTTATGTGATGTATTCAGATTAACCACCTGAAGGATCTTTACTTTTCATCAACCTTTAAAAATCTACCTTAACTTCATTATAATTTATACCAAAACAAGCAACGAATCCCTCCTCTGTCTTGTTTCTCAGAGGTCTGACTTTATCTCACTGTTCAGAGGAATCAAATAGTTTGATTGCTCATTACAGTAACTTCCCAAAGACCCATCAGCTCGTCAATGAGAAACATCAGTAGACAGAGTTCCCCAAGGTTCTTTGATTCTCTCTCCTCAAAACCTTCACCTTGCTGTCCCCACCAACCCTGGATTATTGCAGAGCGGTTCTTACCCAATCCTAATCAAGTATCAGACCCCTCCTCATCTCCACTGAAAGACCCGCCTTAAACCAAACTTCCATTCTCAATAAATTCTGAATTTATCTTCCCTTTTCTGAGGCGTTGCCAAAGACTTTCGCGGCAGTGGTCTCCTTCATGGCGGTACGCAATACGCTCAGCTTTGTCTTAGGAACAGGGTGCATTGGTGATATTTGGGGAGCCAGCTTTGCCAAGGTCTACATTGCATGCTGATATGCTCAAGCCGCCCTTTGGAAAGGTTGTACTAACTGGTATTCCCACCAACACTGCACAGGTGTACCCATCTTCCCATGTCTCACCAATACAGTGTTTTTCCACTGTCTTTCATATTTGCTAATTTGAGAGGCAAAAGAACAAAATCCTCACTGTTATTTGCACTTCTTTAACATTTGTTGAGTGGACCAGACATTGTGAACTCTGAAATCAGTTTGGATCCTCTTCCCACAGCAAGGTTAAACTTGGCTCTGTGCGTTAGATTCCATGTCTGTGAAACGGGGGGTGTTAGTCTGAGTTCTCCAGAGAAACAGCACCGATAAGACATACATTTTTTTCAGAGAGAGATATATTTTTCAAAGGCAGAGCAATATTATTGTCAATTGACTTACAAAAAGGAATTGGCTCACGTGATTATGGAGCTTAGAACTCCCAAGATCGGCAGTTGGCAAGCTGGAGACTCAGGAGAGCCGATGGTGTAGATACCAGCCCAAGCTCCGGTCCGAGTCCGAATCCGAAGGCAGGAGAAGACCGATGTCCCAGCTCGATGTGCCCAATCGGGCAGATAGAGAGGATGCTTTCTCACTTAGCCTTTATTGTATTCAGGCCTTGGAGGGACTGGTTGAAGCCCACCCACATTGGGGAAGTGATCTGCTTTACTCAGTCCACCAATTCAAATGTTAATATCATCCAGAAACACCCTCACGGTCATATCAGAAATAATTTTTAGCCAAATATCTGGGCACCCCATGGCCCAGTGAAGTTGACACATAAAAATTAACCATCACATGGGAATAATAATTTGTCCCTACTAAAGAAAGGGTTGCTCTGGGAAAATAAAACAACACAAGTAAAGTGCTTCAAATGGTGCCTGGCACATAAGTATGGCACTCAAGAAAATATTTAAAGAAATGAAAATTCATCTGGGAAAGTCATTTTTGTATCAGAAAGAAGATTCTATCACAAATGTTGGGTTTAGCTTTAAACTCTTGAAAGATCTTTATTTCACCATTTTGGAATTGCTTTAATGGCATGAGTGTTTGACAATGGCTTCATTAATCAACCAGTTCTAGACCTTTGCTAAGAGGGCAGATGTGACTTAATCCCAGAAGAAGGTCAATGTCTGAGCAGGGAAGGCGCCCACAGTCAGTGGGGTGCACCCTAGATGCATGGCTGGGTGTGGCTTCCCGCCCCACTGGGAAATGGGGAATCTGTTTGAGGGTTGATTTATCACCCAACTGTTCTAGTTAAAAACTCAAATGGCGATTTTCTTCTAAATGCAAATCATAGGCCCATTCATTAACTGAATTAATTTGAATGACAACACTGTAGAGAAGAAAATGAGGACTCTGAATTTTCATCACAGACCAGGCATCTATTTCTTTTTCCTTTTTTATTTTATTGAGGTCACATTGGTTTATAACATTGTGTAAATTTCAGGTGTACATTATTATATTTTAGCTTCCATATAGACTGCATCGTGCTCACGAGCAATAGTCTAGTTTTTAGCTGTTATCATACTCATGTGCCCCTTTACCCCTTTTGCCCTGCCTCTACCCCCTTCCTCTCTGGTAACCACCAATCTGTTCTCCTTATCTATGTGTTTGTTTGTTTATCTTCCACATATGAGTGAAATCATACAGTATTTGTCTTTCTCTGTCTGACTTATTTCGCCTAGCATCATACCCTCAAGTTATTCATGTTGTTGCAAATGGCACAATTTTGTCTTTTTTTATGGCTGAATAGTATTCCATTGTGTGTGTGTGAATCACATCTTCTTTATCCATTCATCCATTGATGGGCACTTGGGTTGCTTCCAAGTTTTGTAGGCCTCTATTTCTTAAAGAAAACACAAGGAGGAAGGGGAGGAAAAGAGAGCGCCAAGCCAGGCAGGATCCCTGAGGATGACTCAATGGCTCTTAGTTCCAAGAACATAAAATGACAGCATCAACTTCTCCAAAATGGCCTATACTTCTTCAGGAATGGTCTGAGACACGGGTATTCATACATGTATAGCCTTGGAACTAGAAAAGATATTTGAGCTCTCAATCCTCTGTTAAAACCCATCCAGTGACTCGCAGTATCCCTTCCCCTTGATTGAAATTCAAAGTTCTGAAAAAGGCTTCCACCACCCACCAGATCTGGCCTGCTCCCATCTTTGTCCCCTCCCAGGTTTTGGGAAGAAATCTCACATCTGTCATATTCCCAACAACCTCAAGAGCTCTCTGCCTGGGGACGCGGCAGGAGGTTGCTGAGACTGTCTTCTGTCTCCATGCCAAATGACACTCTTTCTGCTCTATGACACCCTTCAGGTGACACCCACTTGCTTTCTCAGAGAAGAAGGACATCTTTTCAGTTATTTTAAAGAGGAGAAGAATTTTAAGTGGAGCTCTTTATGGGTATTTTATTATCATTTTACTTATTAATTAATGGATTCAAGATTTTTTCATATTACTAAGCCCTGATCTCATTCTCTCATATCAGCGCTCAGACTAGGCTGAATCACAGGGGGACACCCTCAAGCATTTATTTTGAATAATGAGACTATTCAATGAGGGAAAGGAGAAAATTAGAGACCATAAGAGAGTAAGTGGAAGTTCAGGAGGGAGAAGTTTGGGCGGGCATGAAGTTAAGAGGTTTTGTGGAAGTGTAGGTGGGGACAACTCTTACCCCACCCCTACCCTCCACTCCTCCTTCCCTGGTGTGTCAGGGGTCCCAAGACAACCCCAGTTTTCATGTTTTGCCAGGAGGACTCATGACTCAGTATTTAGTCATACTCATGGCTAAGCTTCATTACAGCAAAAGGATATAGAGCAAAATCAGCAAAGGACAACCGGACACGAGCTTCCCAGAGTCCTGTCTCTGTGGAGTCATAAGGACACACTCAACTCCCCAGCAACTAACTGTGACAACACGTACGACGTGATGCTACAGGGAAGCTCGTCAGAGACTCAGCGCCCAGGCTCTGTTCTGGGGCTGGTCCTGCAGGCACCCTCTGCCTAGCACACCCGAAAATTCCCGACTCCCAGAAGGAAAGCAGATGTGAAGCATAAACCACAGTGTCTGCACAGTTTAGGCCCAGTGAGCCATTCTGTCAGTTAGGGTGGTGGAGCCCTTCTGAAAGCCGAGACCCCAGAGGCCGACCTTGTGAGCAGGCCTTGCAAAGATGGAGGTCTCGGGCCTGCAATATTGACTCCTATATTGACTCCTTCTGGACACCTTTCTGGGTCTGCTCAGTGGCCCTGCAACACTATCCTCCACCAAGAGTCCCACTCAGAGGGGCTGAGGCCACTGTGGGGCCTCTCAGAAGATGGTAAACAAATCTGTGTGGCAAGTCCTACATTTGTATCCATATACATCTCAAGTGACCTTCTCTTCCTGGGGTGTCAGAGCTTCTGACAAGATTTCCTTGCCACACTTCACCCAACCCAGCCTCTGCCTGCCTCACTCATCTTCGCCACACTCTGTGTGTCAGGTACACTAGCTGGGTGGGTTTAGTGTTCTGCCTGGCCTTTGGGTGTGAGTGTGGAAGCCTCCTGGCCACTCCCCACTCCAGAGGAGGAAGAGTTCATTCATCAGGTGTTTACTGGGTGTCTCAGGACACGTAAACGGGCCACAGAAACCACAGAGAGTGGGGTTGGGTACTGCCAATAGCCCCAGCAGGAAGGACCCTGAACTGAGAGTAAATCACTGCTAACCATTCCTAGAAGCACAAGGTAGGGGAGAGGAAGAGGCTCTGGGGCCTGGGTTCAGGTTCTGGCTCTGCTCTTTGCTAATTGTGGTGCCTCAGACTCCATGTTTGCCAAGTCAGGGCTGATAAGCTGCACATGATGCTTATTGGAAGGATTAAACGAGATACTCAACATAAAGTGCTAGTTCTCTTGCTTTTCGTCTTTCCTCGGGTCTAAAGGGCTCCAAATCATTCCCAGTTCTCTCAACAGCTAAATTCCACGTTAAAGGCATTAGCAGACAGCTCTGTAGGTGTAAACAATAACCCTGCCTCACCCTCCCTGCAGGATTATCGACCCAGATGAGGTCTGTTTGCTCAGCAGGAAAAGGCTCTGAATATAAAGGCTCCCACAGAAATCCCAGGGCCCCAGAAAGCTGGACTGAAAAAGTTTAAGTAAGCTGAAGTTGAGAGTTGTTCATAATCAACAAATATTTATTATACCTCTAGTCCTGGGATGGGTACAGTGGGGACCACAAGAGAAGTGGGGGACAAGAGCCGGTGGTCTTTGCTTGTGGGGAATCCGAGTTCCACCAAGAAGAGAAGCCTCAAACACTTGGGGCAACAAGACATGTGTACAGAATAGAATAAAATCGAAATCTTGGTTATAGGAAAACAGATTCTATCGGATGCTAGAGGAATAGTTAGGGAAGGGGCACAATGTTGGCTGGGCCTTTGTGGTCAGCAGGCTCTAAGAAGGCCCCTAATAGTCCCATCTCCCGGTATTCAAACCCTTGGTCATGCCCTCCCATGTGGGCTGGACTTAATGACTTGGTTCTAACAGACAGAATCCTGCAGAAGTAATGGGATGTCACTTCCGACATTAGGTTACAAAAAACCGTACTGTCCATCTTGGGTGTTTACTCTCGCTAGCTCACTCACCCTGAGGGAAGCCAGTTGCCATGTTATAAGATGCCCTAAGGAAAGGTTCACGTGGCGAGGAACGGAGGTAGGCCTCCTGCCAACAGCCTGCAAGGAACTGAACACTGCCAATGACCACACAAGTGAATTTGGGAGTGGTCCCCCCTAGTCAACATGAGACTGCAACCTTGGCTGACGGTTTTCAACCTTACGAGAGACTTTGAACCAGAGGCATCTACCTAAGCTGCATCTTGATTCCTGACTCACAGAAACTGTGAGATAATAAACGTTTGTTGTTTTGAGTTTTGGAGTGCTTGGTTATGCAACAATAAGCAACTAATATAGCTGAGAAGGATGCGTAGGATTGCAGGGGGCGAGGGTGTGGGAGGAAGGCAGGGTAGAGGGGGAGAGGGCCGGAGAGAGACAGGGAGGGAATGAATATGAATGAATTTCAAGCGAACACTTGGGTGAGAAAAACTACTGAGGAGTCCAGCTCCTGGTTAAAAACCCATGTGTGACTGTGTGATTTTTCAGGCCTGACCACAGGCAATTACTGAGGCTTTGCCCGGCAGCCTGGAGAGGCTGCCCTCCCCACAGCAAGCTCGTAGGCAGCCCGTGCATGGCGGTTTCTGGAGGGAGTGCAGTCAAGGACTCAGCCCCCTCGCTGGCCATGCTCTTCGCATATTTACACTCCTTGCCCAGAGGCACCTTCGTTCCCAGGTCTCTCCTTCTGAGGCCTTGGGCGGAGGTCCTCTTCAGGCGCCTGTCCCTGTCTCTGCTGGGCCCCTTGATGGGGAGGGGGTAGGGAGGAAACTGTGAAGACACTTTCCCTACTCTGACTCAGTACCCAGTACTTTTCCACTCCTAGCCCTTCCCCCTCACGCTCCCTCCACCTCAGGGTCCACAAAACCGAAGTCTCTTATTCAGCAGCTCCAACAGCTAGACAACCCGCACATCTACGCTGATCCACCTGAACATGGACTGGCGTGCAGTTCCAAGGGGGAATTGGAACAGGGGGAGGTGGCACCTTTTCCAGTATTAGACTCTTGCTTATACCATCACAGTAAGTGATTAATGGCTTAACTTTTTCATTTTAGGCTTGTTGCTTTCATCAGCTACTCCCACACCTGTCAGATCAGTGTTCTCTCTCCCAGCTCAGCTGAGCTCCTGGCAACTATCACAAAGGTACGGAGGGAGCAATGTTTGTGGCCTAAGCTGGACTCCAGCTGGAGAAAATGAGAAATAAGAGCTCCAGAAAAGCTCAGCCCATCACCGAAGATGAATTCCATAGGAGACCAAAGCTCCTGGATGGAAATGATGGATACAAAGTATGTTCCTTGTCATCTAATTGTCATCTTCACTAAGTCTTCACTTGTTTTTTAGGGCTTCCTCTACTTACAGACAGCAACCTCTGCCCTCTAGAGACCCTGTTGCCTGCTGACTTTGCTGTGCAAAATATGCTCCTTGGACCGGCAGTATCAGCATCACCTGGGAGCCTGTTAGGAATGCAGAATCTCAGGCTCCACTCAGACTTGCCCTAATCTGCGTGCTCACAAGATTCCCAGGCACATTACAGTTTGAGCAGCACCCGTCTAAGACAGGCCGACAGACTCACACACTTACAAACAAACAAAAATAAAGCCCTAAAAAGCTTCCATTAATATGAGAAAGTTGAGAATTGGGAACAACTAATTAACCAGTCATTCAACTTTTTAATTTATTAATTTTAAGAAAACATTAATTGAGCATCTGCAGTGGACATACAAAGCTGGAAAAAAACCGGCCTTGCCTCAAAAGAACTTATAGACAGAAGGACTGTCAGATATGTAAACAGCCAGAGAAAAAGAGACGTTATTGGTACAACTATGGAAGTATTTACAGGTACAGAGGGCCACAAAGCAGGAGACACAGCACTCCACAAAAAGGTGTGGAGGGCCAAGAAGAGCTTCAGTTGGGTCGTGTAACATGAGTAAGCGTTAACCAGGGCATGGAAGGACATTCCAGGCTGAGGTTTATAAACACTGGGCCCATTTGGCAAATAGCTTGGTGTGGCTGGAGAATGGGAGTGCAAGTCGGGTTTGGCAAAAAAAATGATGCTGAAGCAGGATACAGTGCAAACTTGTGAAGGAGGTATGTACCCATGTTAAGGAATTTGGATTTTCTCCTGTAGGCATCTGTGGACAACGTCTTAGGTTGCTTTTGCCTGTAAGTAACAAAAGAAGACCAATAAGTGGCTTAAATTATAAGGACATTTAATTTTCTCTTATAATAAGTAGAAAGCTTTAGGAACTCATCAATGTAGGGCTCTGGGTCAACTTCCCTCCACAATCACAATATGGGAGTCCAGGTCCCAGCATCATGGCTTCAACACACAAAATCCCAAAGCAAGAAAAAGGGACCTTCTCTCACTCTCGTCTTTTATATTAAGGAGGAACATGTTCCCCAGGATAGGTGAGGAAGAAATTTCCTCTGCCCTCTAGGTTCTTCTGGTTGGTCTAAGAATTAAATTGACATGAAACAGAATAACAGGAGGAAATCAAACCAAGTTTAATAACATGAGTGTATGGGAAAAACCCAGGAAAACTGAGTAACTTGCCAAAATGGCTGACACAACCACCTTAAATACCATCTTTAGCTAAAGACAAAAGAGGATATTGAAGGTAGTGGTTTGGGAGTCCAAAGGGAATTCACATGGAGATGGAAATGCAAAAGTTTGGTCAACAAATGTTTGCCACACCTTGTAGAGACAATGGGACACAGAGAGGACTTTGATCACACGGGCCCTGCTAGGCTCCTCCCTGTCTACCACGCCTAGTTCATTACACACTATAGTTATTTATGGTGACAGCTCCTTCCTGGTACAGGCCTTCTATCCTAAATTCTTCTAGGCAGCTGGGAGGAAGGTCAAAATTTCTTCCTCAGTCTTTTGTTCTTAAAAATAATCAAGCCAAAGAGACTCATTTTAGGGTGCCAAATTCTGCTCCCCTACACCTGAAACCCTCAGAAGTCTTCCCCACAAGTCCAGTTGGTCAGAACTGGGTCATATGTCAATGCCCTGGCTTCAAGGGAATCTGGGAGGGTGACTATTTGGCACTTTTAGCATCTTTCACAGGAGGCCTGCTCTGCCAGCAAGGAAGAAATGCACCAGGAATGGCTGAGGAACAGGCAGCTAATAGTATACACCACTGATGGGTGTTAAGCAGGAGAACCACGTGATAAGATTTGCACATGGAACACAGCTCAGGTGGCAGCATGGAAGAAGGACTGGATGGGGAGATAAGACAGTAATAGCAAGATAGGTTGAAGACAGATCAGTGGGAGATGGTAGACCATTAGCGGCCCCTGGAGGAGCAAATTTCTCCATGCGTCCGAGTGAGACATCTCCTGGAACCCACAAAAATAGTAGAGGGGCACTTTCAGGGGCTGAGGTGCTACATGAGGGGATGACTTCTGTGTTACTACAATCCCCATAATACCATCTCAAGCTGCCAGCTGAAGAGGCCTGGGGAAATCAGGACTCCATAAGATACAGTGGAATTCATTTCTCTTAAAATTATGACAGTTAAAACTAAGTAGCTTTATGTTAGAAAACTCAAGAAGGCTTTCTTGGGGCCAATTGATGCAAATGTTTAAAAGGGTTTATAGAACCAGATTTCCAGAAAGCCTTTCAGCCCAACCATTCAACAACTATCATATGAACCGGTTACTTGGAAAGATTTTTTTAAAAGGCTAAGACATAAACCTCTGCCCTTTGAGAGCTTGTTCCTGGTTTGAGGGAGGAGACTTACATGCATAGATAGTGCAAGATAGTGTTCTGATTAGGGACTTGTTGTGATTGGAAGGGACTAAAGCCAATACAAAGAAAGCCACAGGGGACAGGAGATTGTGAAAACTCATGCCAGGCAAGGGAAGGAAATGAAGTGAAGCAGAGTGTCCGAGCACCAGAAATCACCAAGCACTGAGGCGCTCTCTCCCTGTCTCTGGGGAATGTGGTCGCTTCTGCCCATGTGTCTCTGTATTGATGCCATCCTTCTGCTTCTTTTAAAACTAGCCTTTTCTGCTTACTGTGTCTGCACAAGGCCCAACACGGCCACCCTAGAACCTGGATCTATGCAGTCCTCCAGCTCCAGCACCTACTGCCAACCAACCACAGTTTCAGGGTTTGGAACCGGGCCACGTCGTTGGCAGATGATCAGTGTGTGAATGGGGCTCCTCGGGTCAGGTGTCTCTCTCTGCTCTGATCAGCTGTACAGGGGGCTCAATCAGGGTAGGCAGAGAAGCGATACCGGATGTGCCTAACATAGCCAGCCAGGATTCAGCACGTGCTGAAATGGATACCCAGAAAGCCTAAGGAGCTCGGGGTGGAGAGTTTGTGGAGCATGTGAGGGGACAGAGGAGGAGTTTTTCTTATCATGAGACTCGGAAGTGGAAATACTACACTCTTTTTCACATTCTCTCTGTTTTGTGTATGTTTTTCCAACATGACAGAGTCAGACCCCAAAAGCAGGGACATGTAGAGCATCTGATTCTTCCCAGGGCCACAGAGGAGGAGCAGCAGGGTCACGGGGAACCACGTTTCTAAGGCCATATCTTCTGAGTGTTCAAGTCACTCCACCCCTCGGAACCTCATTCCGTCATCTAGAAAACAAGCGGCTTCACTAAATGACTTCTCAGGTTCCTTCCAGCTGTGTCATTCTGAGACTGTGGTGTTTTTCTTAAAGAGAGGGGCCGGAAAAATAAAGAACTGAGGAGCAAGTCTTTTCGTTGTAGAACGAGGGCATCATTACTCATTTGCTGTAGTACCATGTTGCGTCAGCATTAACCATCTTTCGTGTTTAGAATATAATGTGGCACTAGAGGAAGTAAAATCTTAAGTCTGAAGTGTAATTTAAAAAAAAATGACCCAGAGGGAGAAGTCTGAACCCCTGCTGCAGTATTTTCTGGTGACAATGGAAAGAAAAGATGCTGCAAAACCCTCTGTATGTGATATCTGGAATGATAACCCTCCGCGTCACCAGCTAGAAAAAGCTGAGGGCAGCTCCAGGGTCTGGAGCCTCAGAGAACTGTGGTTGATGAGGCTGAGTTGCTCCCAAGTGACTCTGAGGTTAACAAACGAACTGAGGACTGGAAGGATGGGATTGCAGTAAACTGATCACTGGAGGGTGAATGGAGGAGTAGTTATTACCATGGACCTCTGAACTTGCACTTGGACTCAATCTCTCAGCCTAAAGCACAAGCCCCCTGGCCACTTACCTAGAAGAAGGTTCCTGCCTTGGAGCTCTTGCAACCACTTGACATCCATCAGGGCCCAGCTGTCATTCACGACAAGCACACTGGACTCACTCACATGGGAGTAAATTAGCTTGACCTTTAGGAGAAAAGGGAAATATGTCACCTTCCTAACACAGGCAATAGGCAGATGGCCACAGTTATGAAGAATAACCCCACCGTACCGCTTTTCAAGGAGATAGAAAAGGGCCCTAAAAAAGAGCTGGGAATAAAAAATCGAGGTCAGAGGAAAGGCACACAGCATAAAGTTTAATTCCCATCAGCTTCCCATGATGCTCTCACAAGTACAATTTTCTCAGGATCTGAGTTCTCTCCTTTTCTTTTAACCTTTCTTGGACATCCAATTAGCTTAAAAAGAGAGCCAGGGTCTTTTGTCTCATTAAATTGGATTTGGCAATCCATCTCAACATCTCCCTTCCCTGGGAAGTACCTTTCCCTTCGATCCTTCCCTGTGTGCTCCCTCCTCCAAATTCTGCCTAACGAGACCATTCACCCCAGCTGGGCACCCCGCATCACATGCCCCACACCCTCCCCTACCCCGTCAAACCTTCACAAACGGGATGGGCAAGAATGCAGAATTAACAAGAATCCTTTGTTTCTTCCAGTATGACTTGCAGAACACAATACAGAGTTTTACAGCAAGTCATATTTCACTCTGGAACTCTGGAACTCTCTGTGAGGAGATTGGAGAGGACCAGGGCTGAGAGAACTCCTCTTCTGAGAGATGGTGACACCCCAGGCCCTGAATGACTCAGTCCTTCAGTCTTCCCATTGTCACTCCCTCCCCCATCCCACCCTGTCCTTCTCCACCTTCAGGAACCACCCCCCAGAACCTGCATCAGACCTGGCTCAGTGCAGATGGTCATTAACTGTGCAGATAAGTTCACATGAACCCGATGCTCTTGCAGGGCTTGGAGAAGCAGCTGCGGTAATTACAGTGGATTTCTGGAATGGAAACTAATGGTGCAGGTTCAGATCTAAAACGCTTTTGATTCTCTTCATCATTAAAAGGCCATTAGAGGTACAAAATATACATTACTGGACATCAAGTCTACATTGATGTAAAAAGAAATTAGGCTGATAATTGTTCCCAAGGCCATCATCTCCAGTGAGTGAGGGCACACGGCACCCTGTGCAGTTCTACAGAAGGGCTTTCATTGACCCTGATCAGTTCAGTTTAGACAATATTGATTAAGCAAGTTCTATGTGCCATCCTAATCAGACATCTACCTCTGTGACTGCCCTGATTTAAACTGTGACTTTCAAGGACCTGCACTCTGGTTCACACCCTGAGCCCCAGGAAAAAACTTGCAGGCCTTGAAAGACCACAAAAATTTGTGGCAACAGCAATGAAAGGGACCACATGACTTAGTGACCCCAGCAAGAGAGGCAAAACCACAATGTGTAAAATGATAAAATAGAGACTGCAGAACCATCTGATAGAGTGCTTTGCACGGAATAGGTATTCAATCAATATCAGTTTAATTAAGAAATTAACCAATGACCCAAAGGATTCTCTCTTTATAAGCTTCACGTAAGGAGAGGATTAGTCCATCCTTATTGGCTTAGATTCTAACTACCCCTCCCAAACCACCACCAAAGAGATTCTCATCCAGATTTACCATAGGCTAAGCCCTCCTCGCTTCACCCAGTACGTCCACATTCCTAATCATCCGGCAGGGCCCAGCAGATCCAGCTACCACCCCCTCAAGTCACCACTGCACCCTGGCCTGGCTCCTCATTGTCACTACCCTACATTTGTCACCCAGGTGTGAGGTTAGGTGACAACACACAGTCCTATTTCCAGGTCCTCCAAGATGGTAAAGAGGATGAGGGAAATATTGAGGTGGGAGAGAGGGCCACTGCTTCTCCAGAAGAAAGACTGAGGGTGGGAGACAGTGCAGAAGTAAACAGTGGCGCAGAGAGAGGGGGAGCAGATTATCATATAATGGCACATAGCTTATCAGCTCTCACATCCTAGGCGAGAATATCTTCAGAGCATGCCAGACCCCATCACTGCCAAAAAAAGAAATAGGTAAAATGACTGTAAGCAGTACAGGTTTGAGCTGTAACCAATACAGGTCTCTCAGAGCCCTTCAGCCTCAGAAGCTGGGGCCAAGAAATGACCAGAGTGAATGAAGAGGGTGATGAGACCAGGGATAAGAGGTCATTCCTAAAGTGCTGGCCATCCTTGTATCTGGGGCCACCTTCAGAAGATATCGCTGGGTTTAATGTCCACCAACAGGGAACCAGTTAAATCAATGATGGTACAGCTACAGGTGTTTTAATATCTGTATATACTGATACGGAAAGATCACCAAGAAAGGAGTATAAATGCAAAGGGGTATAAACATAGTAAAATGTACCACCACTTGTGTAAACAAGGAGTGAGAGGAGTGCATAACTTTATGTCTTTGCTTCTACATGCATACATTCTCTCTAAAGGACATGGAAGAATCCAGCAACACTGGCTGCCTGTAGGAAAGGAAGGGAGTGGCTGGAGGTCTGAGGTAGGAGGGAGAATTTTCACTTTCATATCTTGAAAAGTTTGAATGTGAATATTGCTTATTCAAAATACAAAATAAAATCATGTTTAAATGAATGGGGAAGGGAACTATCATTTATTGAAAGTCTATCAGGAACTTTGCATACATTGTCTAAAATTTACTTCTCTCAATCCTATTGAATCCTACTTTTTATTTTTATGTAATTTTTAAACTTACAAAAGTAATACATATTCAATGCAGAAAATATGAGAAACTCATGCACATATGAAAAAAACCCAGCTATAATCCCAACTACCCTCAGAGATAACTACTGCTAAAATTTTGGTATAAAGCCTTTCAGTCACAGAGTTGTTTTTATAAAAATGGAATCACAGTCATCATACTGTTTTGCAACTTGCTTTTCTCACTTCTCACCATATTGTGAACATTTTCCCATGTCAACACTATTCTTCTACATGATAATTTTAAGAGGATGCGTGATATTGTTTAATACAGAGGTATCATAATTTATTTAATGAATCTCTATTTAAAAGTAGTTATGAACATTCTTTTATATGTACTTTTAGATATAGCCCTGATTATTTTATAATCTCTTTTTTTTTCCAGAAGAGTTAAATAACTGCATAATTTCACATGACTGATAAACAGTATGGCTGATATTAGCACTCAGTACGTCTGCCTCCAAAATTGGAGTTCTTTCTGCCACCTCACACTGCCTGAGTCTGCCTACTAGATAGCAGATTTCCCTGACTTGCTTTATGGAAATGTTATAAGTATATATAGTTATAAAGTGATTGTAAGTTTCTTCCACCAGGAAGATGTTTGGACTGAACATGACAGCTTCCTAGAGGTAGGGGAAGTAAAACTTGATGTTCCCAGAGCTGTGTAAACCTCCCTTCTTGAAGGTGAGACTTGGGGAAGCCATCTGTGCAGAGCTGTCTCTCGTCAATCCAGCATAATCATCGCCCTCGCCTAAAATCTCTGCGCTGCGGGAGGCAAGTCTGGAATTACATTTCTGAGGACCTCTCTTCCTGTATGGTTCTGGGGTGTATTCTGCCAATGAGAAGCACTTATGGGAAATTTAAGGCAGAGAAATTATTTTTCTCTGGTGGTAAGTGGGGGCAAACATAGAGGCGGATGGCGGAACCCAGGTTCACGCTGATTTCCGGGCATGCGGTGGCGCAAGCAGCTGAGATTGAAAGTGGCTTCTTTGAGATCCCAGCAGGCTTTGATTTTGTAGCCTCTAGCAGTGGCTTCCCTGACCTTTACTCTTCCAGTTTATCCAATGATTCCCTAGGTCTCTAATTCCTTGTATTAAACCTTCCTACTTAGAACAGCAAGAGTGGCTTTTGACTCTTGACCATCCATTAGCAAGATTCTAGATGAGAAACATGTTCCTTCTGGAAATCAGGAAGAATCTTTATTTTTGGACGCCCTGCCCCTCACAAAAAGACTTATGAAGCTAGTGTGCTTGTGTGATTTCTTCATTTGTCACTGTTCAAGTCACTTTTCAAGGATATGCTGCATTCTTTTTCAACAAACATTAAAAAAGCAGCTGCCAAGTGTCAGACACCTGGATAGTGCCGGGGATCAGAGGTGCACACATAGTCTAGGGGGAGAGGCGGTCAGAACAATCAACAATACAAGTCAGATGCCAGCGTGCTAAGAGCCAACTAACCGAGTCTCTTCTGCGCCCTGAGGAAACTCCATGGCGTCCAGGTGTCGTCTCTCTTTGGAAGCCTTCCTACCTCCATAAGCAGAATTAAGAGTCTCCTCCACGGCGCTTCCAAGCTGACTTGTACACACATTCCTCCAGGAGAGCCTCAGATATGAAACCTGTTAGAGCAGTTTGGTCAGTCTCCATAAGACCAATCTTCTTGAAATAGGAGTGTGATCTGCTTATCAACCTGCTTATCTAGGAGCCGTATATAGGCTCACTTAATAAAAGTTTGTTGAGTGAACAAATGAATAAACGACTATGCCTCCCACAGCCCCGTTTTAGCAGCTGACTCAGGATTGTACGTTCTTTCATCTTAAAATGGGAATTCTGTGCCCCGTGTACATGCTGGAGTATAAATGGTGTTGAGCACATTAATTTCCTTAATGTTCGACCAATGAACACTTGCTAGAGTCATGAATTACTGCATACTTCTCTTTTTCTGAATATAAACTTATGCTAATGCAATTATTTTAATTATTTAAGGATCATGCATGCATAAAGATAAGGACTGAAGGGAATAGATAAAAATGAAAATAGTTTGTTACACAGGAATTTTTATGTTAGTCTATGAGTGAACTTGTTCTTTAATTTTGATTTCTGTTAAGATTAAACTGTTTAGCAATCAGTCCCTTTTAAAAACGGCTTGTCACCATGGTGGCCTCAGCTGGGCCCAGTTTCCTCAGCCTCCCTCTGAGGGGAGATTGGAGTCCCCTCTCTGCCTTCCACACAGCCAGTCTGCCAGCGAATCCTGCTGGCTCTGCCTTCAAAACACCCCCGAGCAGGACAATATTTCAGCACCGGGACCCTCTGGCCTGACCCCCATCACCTCTCACTCAGAAGATGATAACAACAACAATAACATCAAATCCAGAAGCAGCATTTGCTCACTGTGCTGTTACAAGTGTTTTAACTCATTTAATCCTCACAACAACCGTACATTCTAAGTGTTTCACATTTACCATCTCATTTAATCCTTACAAATACCCTAGGAGGTAGGTACAACTATCATTCCCATTCTACAGATGAGGACACTGAGACGCAGGGATTATGTAGTTTGCCCAAGGTCATGCAGCTGGTAGGTGGCAGAGCTGGCATTGGAAGCGGGCAGGCTGGCTCCAGAGGCTCTGCTCTTCATCCCCAAGCTCCAGACGATTGCAACGTCTAACTGGTCTCCCTGCTTCTACCTCTGGCCCCCCAGGTTATTCCCAAGGCAGCTACCAGAGTAATCACTTTATTATGTAAGCCAGATCATGTCATTCCACTGCTCAAAACCCTCCAGTAACTTTCCATGGCCGACGCCATCCAGTCTTCCGTGACCTCTTTCACCTTTTCTCCTGGCATTCTCCTTTCCAGTCACACTAGCTCCCTGATGTTCTTTGAACAGACCAGGCAGGTTCCTGCCTCAGATCCTTTGCATTTGCTGTTCCCTCTGCATGCAATGCTCTTCCCATAGCTAGGCACATTCCTCACTCCCTTATCTCCTCCAGCTCTTTGCTCAGATGTCGCTTTCCAAGTGAGGCCTTCTCTAACCCTCCTATTTAAAAGGTTACCCCTCCACCTCCAGTGAAGCACTCTCAAACCCCTTCTCTTATGGTAATTCTTCTCATTTGACGTAAGTTCCATGTGTTTATTTATTGTCTGTCTCCCTCCACAATTATAGGTTCCATAAGAGTGGGAATCTTTTTCTGTCTTCTGTTCTATCTCTAAGGCTTAGAACAGTGTCTGGCACATAGTATGTACTCAATAAATATTTGTTCAATGAATAGTTTCCAAGCTCCTTCCAACTACTGCCATGTTCCTGGTAACATCACATTTAAAGAAACCAGTGAGCACTACTTTACTGCTCACTGGGCATACACGCTGGCAAGGGGGATTGCCAACTACCAACTTATTTGTATGGGAAGAAGGGGAACTAGGAAGGGGGAGGAGCTCTGGGTCATCAAGCACAGCCAGCCTCAGCTAGACCTACTAAGACTTGGCCCTGCGTCATTAATCATATCAGTCTATTAAGAATATACTTTAAGGGGCCGGCCCCGTGGCCGAGTGGCTAAGTTCGCGCAGTCTGCTTCCGCCGCCCAGGGTTTCGCTGGTTCAAATCCTGGGCGTGGACATGGCACCTCTCGTGAGGCCACGCTGAGGAGGCGTCCCACATGCCACAGCTAAAAGGATCCACAACTAAAAAAAAATGCACAACTATGTATCGGGGGGCTTTGGGTAGAAAAAGGAAAAATAAAATCTTGAAAAAAAATTATAAAAGAAAAGAACATACTTTAAGAATGAAAAAAAAAAAGCCAGTTGTTCTATCAAAGCTTATTACTTTTTTGCTGGTAGCTGCTTCCACAAAGATGCTTGGGATTGACTTTCCCAGGCTAGGTGGCATAGCCTAAATCTGTGAATAGGACCAGTGCTGGGTTCTAGAAGACCTTTGGAGGGTAGGGCCAACGCCAGGGTAACTCATACAATCTCAGATGGCCTGGTTTTCTTAAGAATTGGTTTTATGTCATGACTCATAGGGAATTGTCTTGGGACACTTGTAGGAGGGGCTCCAAATGGACTTGGAAGGCTTGGGCCCAGGAAGCCATGAGACTGGAGTAAGGGACTAAAGAAGAAAGAGAGTTTGGGAAAAGCAAGTAGAAAAGAACACTGTTGGGGCAGAACAATCAATCAGCTGAGGAGGCATCTTTTTAGGGGAGCTCCTGAGGTACCCACTGGAAATACAAAGTGTCTTAGTCTAGGAAGTATGAAGCATGAGGGACTTTAGGGGATAACGTCCTCCTCGTTCCGGGACAGCCTCTGCCAGTTTTGCAGCCTCCTTGAGAAGCCAGGAAGGGATCAGAGAATCAACCTGTGGGGCTCAGAGGTCCTTCTTCCCCAGGCAGGCCATGAGGGGAGCTCAGCTCTTCCTATATGCTTCCAGCTCACCTGGGCAGACCCCCAAACAGGGGCAGCTTTGAAAGGCCTATTCTGATGGCCAATTGCCCCTCACTTCAACCTCTCCTCCTCAATTTTCACATCTTTCAGCCCTTTATCCTTGTTCGTCCACTTGCTAGCTGTGTGAGTTTGAACAAGTTACTTAAGTTCTCTGAGCTACAGCTTCCTCATCTATATAATGAAGTATATTAATACTTAGCTCATGGGATTGTTGTGTGGATCAAATAAGACGTGTGTAAAGCACACAGTAGGTACTCAATAAGTGAGTGGTGGCTGCTGCTGCTGCTGATAATAAAGACGAAGATGATGATACCAGGAACAGGAAGAAGATAGAAGGGGGCTCTTTGACAGAAATGACCTTAGGATCTTCCTGGAGGCTCATAGTCCCAAGCCACCAGGTCACTTTGAGTTAAGGCTGAGTACACCAAGAGAGGAATGTGTGCGGGTGTCATCATCCCAGATCCCCCCACTTGGTCCCTCCTCTACCATGCATATACTGTGCACTGCCCTGAACTGCCCCATCTCACATCCTTTCCTCTCCATCCCATTTCCCTATGAAAGCAGCAGAAGATGCAGATGTTATGGCCCCTTTGGGCTCAGTCTAATGGCCAAGCTTGTAAGTGCTCAGCACCATGCTGGCAAATGAGGCAGTAGGGATGCATAATGTTTAAGCTCTGGTTATATTAATAAGGAGACACAGCCAAGTGATAAATAAGCCAACTCAAGAAGAAAAATAATATTAGGGAGGATAATATGGAAGAATAAAGAAAAGACTTGAGGTGGAGAGGAAAGGAGGAGTAGGATAGGGAGTTGGGAAGGGGAGCAGATCTCAGCTCACCTCGGCGGGAGCCTGCAACGACAATGGAAAGAGCACAAGCTTAGGAGTCTCACCCAGGTATGAATTCTGCCTCAGACACATCAGCTACGTGACCTTGGAAAAGTTGCTTAAACTCAGTTTCCTCATCCAGAAAAATGCGACTAACAAGAATATGCCTCCACTAAACTGCTGTGAGAATTAAATGTTGTAAAGAGCCCAGCACAGGTCCAGGAATGTGGTAGGTGCTCAGCAAACATTATTTTCCTCTGCCTTCTCTGAATTCCCATAGCCGCACAGCCAGGCTCACAAGAGGTGCCCCGGACCCAGCCCAGACTCTTAACCTTATCTTCATCTTGGGGTAAAGAAAGGAGCTGAGCCTCGGGGCAGCAAGGCAGATAGGAAGGCCAGGAAGCAATGGTCAGGGTTAACTCTTGACTCCAGACAGCGCAAGTGCTGCGCATGCACCAACCCAACTGCAGTGAGCACCAGGCCCTTGGGGTACAAAGATGAACAGAATGTGGAGTCTGCCCCAGAGGATCCAGAGTGGAGAGGGAGGGACAGACACATAACCATAACAGCTATGGAGAGAGCAAGGCCTTCACTTACGATATCTATGCATTTGGATTTCAAAGAATCTGCTGCTTTACTGTCCCCACCATCTAATTGGATTTGGGGTTTGGAAAAAAACTCCTCACAGTTTCACCAGAAGTGTGAGCCAAGTGTGATCAAAGTGTAGAGGAGAATAAGGAATTCTCTTAGGAGAGTCAGGAGGAGGCATTTGAACAGGATACCAACAATGATGAGAGCTAACATTTATTACTATTGGCTGAGCACTAACATGGCCGGCACCAAGTGCGTCACACACATTAACTCATTCAATCCTCACAACAGCCTTATGAGGGAAATATTATTCATATTTTACAAGGATAGGGTCACACAGTTTGAAAGTAGCAAAGCTGGGATTTGAAGCCACAGGGTCTTATTCTATATCCCACATCCCTAATCTCTATGCCAAATGGCCTCTCTGAATCTTGAAGAATAAATATTGTGGCCATTCTGAGATCCAAGGCCAGTTTTTCTCCTCACTGGAACCACACCCAGACCAATAGAGATCGGATCCTCCCTCTACGCGTGCCATGCTCATTTAGCACCAACTCTATCTAAGGCTGTTTAAGACTCAGAACTGTGGGACTTGTGCGGGGAGCAGTAACCCATAGCCCCTTTCTCCACCCGTGAGCTCTGTTTTGCTGTAATTCTCCTTGGCTCCAGAGCCTAAAGAGTGGGATATTTGGAGTTGGGACAGTGAGCTGGGCTTCTTTTCTCATTCCTGCTCCTGGTGGGCAGGAATGGTGGGACCTGAGAGGTTCAAGATGGAGAGAAGGACTCAAAGGTTTGGAGGCTCAAAAGATCTCCCAAAGCAAGAATGCAAAGTGACGCAGCCACTATGGAAAACAGTTTGGAGATTTCTCAAAAAATTAAAAATAGAAATACCATATGACCCAGCTATCCCACTACTGGGTATCTATCCAAAGAACTTGAAATCAGCAATTCAAAGAGACCCATGCACCCCTATGTTCATTGTAGCATTGTTCACAATAGCCAAGACGTAGAAGCAATGCAAGTGCCTATCAGCTGATGACTGGATAAAGAGGATATGGTGCATATATATACATACAAACACACACACACACACACACACACACACACACACACTGGAATATTACTCAGCCATAAAAAAGATAAAAATGTCCCATTCACAACAACATGGATGGATCTTGAGGGTATTACGTTAAGTGAAATAAGCCAGATAGAGAAAGACAATCTCTGTCTGACTCCACTCATATGTGGAAGTTAAACACATGGACAAAGAGAATATATTAGTGGTTGCCAGGGGAAAAGGGGGATGAGGGGTGGGAACAAAGGGTGAAGTGGTTCACCTACAATATGACTGACAAATAATAATGTACAACTGAAATTTTACAAGGTTGTAAATTATCATAACCTCAATAAACAATAAAATAGGAAAAAAAAAAAAAAGTTCTCCCAAAGCAAGGGTTTCTTCTATTTCAAGGGCGAAACAGTTCTCCAGCTGTAACCTTAGATGGAGCAGATAAAGCGGAACTGCTGTGATAGAAGTGGGATCGGGAGTTTAGAGCCCCATTCAGTCCACATTCTCTATATCCTCTCCCAGCTTCTCAGGAGGCTCCTGAAGCCTCTTCATGGAAGTGGTTTAAAAATCCTGTCATAGGTAGAGCACCGGCAAAAAGCCTGATTGTGCCCTCTCCTCGGCTCTGCTCACTGAGGAGGACTGGCAGCATTTGCAGCAGGCAAGTCAGGTCAGGAAGCAAGGGAGTTATCAATTGTTGCTGTCATTTGGAGCCTTGATGAGCATTTATATGACTCTCTGCCCTAACATGTGCTCTGAGTTGCCTGGAAGAGAGGAGAGGCATAGGTACTGGGGTGGGATCAAGGAGAGGGGGGTCAAAAAACGTGGGCCAGGTGCAGGCTGGGAGGAAGTGGGATGGGAGTGGAGCAGATGACAGATATTTTCCTTGTGGCAAATATAGGAGAGGCCAAGGATAAGTGGAGCTGGAAGAGAATTAAGTCAGAGAACCATTCAGAGTGAATGAAACCCTCACATTTGGCTTTATCCCAGATGATTAAGGACACCATCATTAAATCTGCTCACAAGGACAACCTTTACAAGGGCAGGGGAAGAGCAGACTTTGGACCTTTCCCTGTCCTGTGTGCTCTTTCCCAGAATGGGGGTCCAGCACGCCTTCTATAGGTGATATGTCATGCTGTCTAGATATTACTTCATGCCAGTACTCATTCTCCATGGGAAAGTCCAAAATATTGAGGCAGAATTGCAGGCTGGTGAAGAGACACAGCTTGGGAGTCAGACCTGAATTTGACTCTTGGCTTTGCCTCTTAGAATTTGTTTGACTTAGTCAAGTTACTTATTCTTTAAGGTTCCTCCTCTACAAAATGGGAGCAGCACTAATTTCTCCCTCATAGGGTTGTTGTGAGGAATAAATGAGTTAATACATATAAAGCGCTTAAAACAGTACCTGACATATAGTGGTTATTCAATAAATGTTAATTATCATCATCAACATTACCGTCATCATTAGAGGTACTTAATTATAGCTCTAGATAGCCTAAAAGGTCAAATGACTACTAAGAGCTTCCTCTCATGTCTAAAATAGCTAGGCTCAAAATCTGGTTTGCCAGATTATGGGCAATTCAATACTGTCCTTTTTTTTTTTTTTTTTTTTTTTTTTTAAATAATAAAGGCTTATCTCTCAGTCACATCACAGTCTATT